TGTGTTGCGTGTACGTATGTTCGTCTCTCCTCTCTTTCTCTCTCCCTGTTTGTTTGTCTGTCCGGCAGGTTTGCGCGGACTCGTCTCGCTCCGATTGACCCTCTCCGCGCGTCATACGAGATTTTCTAATTGACAGGCGCGCAACTGAGCGTGCCATTGCCGAGTGACGCATGAGTCAACGCTCCATTAAACTTTGAATCGAATTTCTCTCTTTTTTGTAGTTGTTACCTGTTCACTGGTGAACTGGATTCGATTTTTCGAGGAAACTGCCAGTTTCGTGATTCTCTACGAGATCCTGGTGTTTTTAGGTGTTGTCGATTGATATTCGTCGACGAGAAGGTTCTGAATGATGATCGTTACTAGGTTTATTCTGGTAATTGCGCGAACGAAGAATATAGAAGCTCCGGATATCGAAGGAATCTCGCGAGACACGGGGGAAACGAGTAGTTTCGACGCAGGCGTGACGTTCGCGACGATTCGACGATGAATATGCGAAGTTGAACGACATCTGGGCACAACGAGAAGATGCTTCGATGGAGGACAATCGCGATAATGAACGGTGATATGATCGATGACAACGTATTAGGCGAGACACAACGATCTGCGTGAATGTTGAACCAGCATTAATGGTAGTGACAAAGTAATGGTTAGTGGTAAATCGTGTGATGATAGTGACAGTAGTAGTATAAAGTAGTAATAGCAGCAATAGTAGTAAATAGCAATAGTGATAATATTAATAATAATAGCAATAATATAGAGTGTGTATATATGTGTGTGTGTGTGTTTGTGTGTTTAAATATATATGTATATATAACCGCAAAAATGACGGAGATAATCGGATAAGACACGGGACTAATTGACGTTAGTTCGGAGTTTTGAACGACGATCGTCGAAGCAATCGACTACATGAGCACTCGCAATTGATTTCATCGTTGCAAGAGGAAAGAACAAATAATAATATTAATAATATTAATAATAATAATAATAATGATATAATAAAAAAGAAATAGTAGAAAAAAGAAACAATTGACCAGATAAATAGTAAATGGTGACAATATTTAAATGGATGCCGTGCTGTTCGTCGAAGTAGCCAAAGATCTACTTCAGATGCGACTGAGGCGTATAGTGTTGCGAATACAATAATAATAATAAAAAATAATAATAGTTAATAATTAATAATAATTATTAATAATAAAATAATTATATTAATAATAATATAATAATATTAATGATAAACTAAAACTATAATAACATTTGCTTTCAAGTATAAATTAAACGAAAACATTTTTTGTTTACCGTAAGAAGTGTGTAGTGTGCATATATACAAAATGTATTCGATTTTTTTCAGAAACCACGTCATTTAGGCACTTTCGTTTTATTTTGCTTGCTCCTTTTTTTTGTAATTTTCTTTTAATCCCTTCTCAATATTCGCGAGGAGGCGACGTGTCGTGGAAGCAAAACGTTTTTTTTCTTTTTCGGCGAGGGGAACTGATTCGAATTCGACCACGGCACCTCGATCGAATTTTCTTAGCTCTTCGTTGACATTTCGCGAAACGCTGAAAGACATTTCGTTTGTACCATGGCTTTCGAAATGCGAATTTTGAACGTTCCCAAGCGCGAAAACTGATTTCTTCCGCGAAACCGGAAGCACTTTGAAAAATACGTCGCCTCATTACTCTCAATCACTCTCTCTTTCGCTCGATCCAACACACACACTCTTTCTCTCTCTCTCTCTCTTTCTCTCTCTGATTCCTTCTCTTTCTCTCCCTTCTGTTCACTCTCTATAATAGAATATTTTTTTTTAATAATAGTTTATATTTCTATTGCAGTAGTTACATATCACAATTTTTTTTAAATTGGGAGAGAATAATATATATATATATATATACCACGACATTGATGATGATTGTTACTCTCCCTCTCACTCTCTCTCTACAAATCATTCACTCGTCATTTATTTACTAATCGAGGCCTACTTTAAGGCACTACGAGGAAGCCACATCGATATTTCCCTATGCTACTTATTCTGGGTTTCTGTTGCGTAATTAAAACTGTCGAGATTTTCCTTTCTTTTGGTAAAAATGCTCTGAACACCTCTCCGGGAAATTCTGTTTGGACCCTTCGGTTCTCGTGCCTTCTTCGGTCAATCATCGGACTCGGCGAAGAAACGAAATAAAACCAAAACATTCCTGTCTTTTCTTTCGTACCGGAAAAACCCATAAAAAGGAATCTAACTGCACCGTTAAAGTTACCGAACAACGTAAAAAGGAAAAAAGCAACATTTCCTGGGAAGGCACGCATCACCAACTTCACCGAGTCCCGGAAAAAAGCGGCCGCGAAAAAGTGAAGAAACGTAGTCTCGAAAAATCAATAAAACGAGGGTTCTAAACAAGAAAAGGTCTGGTCACTGATTCCAATAATCTTTCTCTCAAGAAATCGTTCTCTTTTCGAACATCGTTCCGATCAAGGACGAAAAAGAATAGAAAAAAAACAAAGAAAAAAAAAGTATAAGAAAACACGTTGTTCTCTGCAGCGTGAAAAAGAAAAGTGGTTGCCGTCTCGAAGCATCGATATATATCTATATATTTCGATCGAAAGCCCTGCGGGGCGAGTGCCCGCCAATAAAATATACCTAACGGCTTCGTATAACTTATCCTTAAACGAGCACGCTTTCATTCACTTACTCAGAGGACACGTCCGTTTCCCATGCGTTAGCTTCCACACACTCACGAACGCACCACTTTCTCTTATTATCTTCCTTTTGCTCATTACCACACACCGCCTGCTCTCTCACCGCCACTTCGGTCCCTCAGCCATCTTCCTCTCTTACCTTGACTATATAATATAACACACTCGCGCGCACGCACACTTGCTCGCAACATTCACGCACACAAGCACACTTTCACTCGCTCTCTAACATTGGAAGACAATCGGAGTTCTTAAGCCACTTAATTTGCATAGCATGATGTTTGATTCTTGATCCGTTTCACGCGCTTCGTCACCGACCTCCCCCCTCCGCGCTAACTCTATCTTTCTCTCCTTTACGTACCGATCTATCACGCTCTCCTTTCTCTCTGTCTCTCGCTCTCTCCCCCTCAAACACACGCGCGAGCGCGGGCCGCGCTCTCGCCTCCCTTTCACTCTCAAGACAACTTTCCCTTCCCTTCCTTCTTCTCGAACGAAGGGATTCAGAATTATTTAAAACAAAAAATAAAAAAAATGAAATTACAGAAACGCAACTAAAACTGTTTTGGAATATTGCAACGTTTCACCTGCCCCGGATCGAACGACGCTTCGCGATCATCCTCGCGGGCCGGGGAGCGAAACCGAGCGACGAAGGAGACATTGAAGCTAGCCGAGCGCATAGAGCCGAAGGGAACAAGTCGAGATAACGTAGTCTCGACGGAGATCAAGGAACAACTCGCCCGAGGAAAGTTGCGATTCGGAAAAGAAGCTTGGACACCTCCGGCTCTCGTTTCAGCAGGCTTCTCGCGTATCCTCGCCACCCGGTAGTATCCTTTTTCTTTCGCCCGCCCCCCGTTTTTTCCCGCAGTTGAATTATCCGAGGATTCTCACGCGAGCAGGTCGAGACATCCGGGCTGATACAATCTCGACTTTTCCGCTAAATGAACGTAAATCTAACGTAAAAAATGATGAAGTAGTAGAAGACGAAGAAGAAAAGAAGAAAAGAAGAAAAGAAGAAAAGAAGAAAAGAAGAAGAAAACGGCTCTGGCGGTCGGAGTCAGACAGTGACTGACGCTACTAATACGGTTAAGAGTAATGATAGTGTTGATAGTGATATTACTGATAACGTTAATAATTATTAATTCTAGCGAATAATATATAATATATAATAATATAATAATATTAATAATATTATTAATAATCAAGACGATTATGATAAAAGGGAAGAGATGATCGCTTAAAGAACGCGAGTAAAATGTCTAACGTGTCCTACGAACAGAAAAGAAACGCTTAAATAAGAAGCCGAGTTCGATGGAGAAGGAAGATCCGTCCCACACGAGAAATGCAACTCGATCGTTTAAGACCAAAAAAAACGTACATATACATATATAGTAGTGGGGAAAATAAAAACAGAAAAAAAGAAACTTCTCAAGTCGGTGGGAGAGGTCCGTCCGCTCTCCCTCACGTTCTCCTGTCTTTTCGGTAGAGATAAATTATATAGCGTGTTTTCGTGTCCGAAGCTCTTTGTCTTCTATTTTCCTCTATACGTCGTCGTGAGCCGTCTATCTTCGATAGAATCAAATTTTCAAAGAGAAATGTACCAAAGAGTTCGAAGGACTCGGGACTGCGTGTAACTGTGTACTTGTGTCAATGTATGGGTTTGACAGTGTGTCTGTGTATATGCGTGTGTTGTGTGTGTGCGTGTGCGCGCACGCGCGCGTGTGTGTGTGTGCAGGTGGCTAGGGTAGCACCTTAGATTTTCAGATTCTTGAAGTCCCCAAGGGAGCTGCTGATCCTGTTGAAAACCGGCAACCTGGAATCAGCGTTCGGCGACAATGGGGATGGAGTCCTGGGCGTCAGCTCGTCCGAGCTGAGCGGACTGCACATGCTGTTCGTCCGTGGACTAGGACTCTGCCTTGTCGCGAGGAGCCCGAAATCCTGGCCGAAGCTGAACGCCGTGGTGGGTAGGCTCAGGGATGGTTGTTGGCTGCAGTCATCGCTGAAGAAGCTCGCCATGGAATTCGTTGGCGACTGGCTGAGACTGGACGACGGCGAGATCGACTCCCCTGTGCTGCTGAGCGAGAAGGTCGGGCTGCTGAGGCTTAAAGGCTTCAGCCTGGATGCGCCGACCACCGAGCTGACGCCAGTGGTGCCGGTCTGATGATGATGATGGTGGTGATGGTGGTGGTGGTGTTGAGTGGTGGTCAAGCTCAACGAGTTGGTCCGGAGCAAGGGCGGCGGATTGTACGTGTTATTGCTGCTGCACAAGCTCAACGAGTTGGTTCTCATGAGGCTAGGGGTAGCCGCAGCTGCCGCAGCGGCCGCAACTTGCGGCGAGGCTACGATCTGCTCGAGAAGGCTGACGCTGCTCACGGTTTGAGTAACGTTCGATCCATTGCAGTTGTTACCGGCTGCGGCCGCCGCTGCCGCCGCCGCGGCGCTCAACAACGGGTTCAAGCCCATGATGTTTGGCTGCGTGGAGCCCAACTGCGCGCTCACTTTCTGATTGTGGATTCGCGCCTCTTCGAAGTTATGAATGAAATGGCACCGGGGGCCGTACGGGCAGAAACCGATTGTGTGGAACGTGCGGCAGAGCTCGGTCTTGTATTTCGGATGGCGGGCGAGATTGCGCAACTCACTGTAGCCGTGCGCGAACTGACACTTGTCGCCGTACTTGCAGGTACCGCTCTCCTCGAACGGCCGACACAGCTCGGTCTTGTAGCGAGAGGTCGGCTCGCTCGCGCTTCGGTCCAGTTTGCGATGCTGCTCAATCAACGTGGTCACCAGGGAGGTGTAGCTACGACGCAGGGGCGCGTGGCCACCATTGTTGCCGGACGTGCCGTTGCTGGAATTGTTCGTCGTCGATGTTGATGACGATTCCTTTGTCTTCGCGGTAGCTGCATTCTGTAACAAGGAAACAAGTGGTTTTTGAAGTTTCTTGTAATCCGGGATTCATTTAGTTAACAGGTTAACACCGTGCCGGTCACCGATCACCGACAGTTCCGAATTGTTAGGAAATAATAGTAATACGTAACGCAACTGATGTCGAGTAAAAATGTTTTATAATATAAGTTGGCAACAGTATAATGTAAGAATTATAATGGCAAACTGTTAATAATTGTTCCTATTTATCTTTGCTACGAAAAAATTAATGTTATGTAAAACGCTCAGGAATTATTTCGATGTTTAACAGCAAAATTGTTAATTGATGTTGTCGTACAATTTTCTTTAGTCTTGACACTTCTGTCTCCTGGAGTTGATCACTTTGGGAAATGAGCGATTCATGTGATGCACGTGAAATAATATAAAGAAAATTCTATAAATTGAATACATCATGGATTGCTTGAATTTTGTACATCAAGTAAACTCCCTTATATTTTACATTACTTTTATCTCGGTGAAACCATTTTATTCGTTGAATGGGCTGTGAAACTGATTAGAGCAGTATTTGAAAGTATTA